GTCGTTACCGCTATAAAATGCACAGAAGGAAAGTGTTAGTGATAAGTATTTATCTAAACGATACAACCCACGTGCTGCCTTTGCTGTTGCTTTTGGTAGAAGTGAGGACCCACTTATCTCGGGGCCGCTTGACCCCGCACCTTTTAGGGGCGTGAATTAAGCTAGAGTTAGTCGTTTCAGACAGTGAGATGACGAGATGGTAGTTAAGGTGAGGTGATCGTCGTCTTAGACGACGATAGGGGTAGTCTACTTTGGCTGTATAGTCCCTATAGCGCACTATCAAGTTCTTAAGCGTCGCTGCGCTGGACATGATTGGTCTTTTGCGGAAATGAAGCGACATGTTCTTTGCGTCTGCTTTGCTTTGATGAAATATGAAGCTTGCTTATAGAACCATGTTCGATTCTATTAAAGTGCTCGAAAGACAGTGTTGCGGGCGCTGAGACTGAGGGTTTTGGTGGACCCTTTTATAAGCACTTCGCGGTGGTTCAGTGGAAATATAGTAGTAATGAGAGGCAGACAAGAGCAATTCGAAGAATATTTATTGAGAACACGAGCTTATCAGCGGCGAAGAAGTCAGAGAAGTGCTGGGCTTGTCCCCAAACGCCCAGGTGCCCCCGCCAGATGAGGTCGTGAGTGGATCATCGCCTGCGATACGCAGGCGATGATATATAGAATCACATTCGATTCTACGACTGGGACCACGCTTTTTGGTGGCCTCGCCCGCTTGATCCCCGTATCATGTTGGCGACCCAACACCGTCTTGAACAGTTAAAGAGCCACGAGAGCGGATCGTCGACTCAGACGACAATATACCCTTCGAACTTGTTCCAATGTGAAAGCAGAAAAGATATTAAATGAATGTCGTTTATCGAGTAGTAGTTTAAGAGGGAGATTGCAATGCGCAGGCAATGATAGTGAATACATGTCAATACAGCGAATAATAACACCAGAGGGTCACCCAGCAGTTTTAGAATATACAAGCAGTAAACAATAAACAATATCAGCATGAATTAACTAGAATCAGGATGGGACGTGTCGACTTCAATATTACAGTGAAGTATAAAGGAATAGTTAGTAGAGAATATAGTAGGGAGTAGTAGAAGACAATATACAAGCCCTGTGCTACACCACTGCAACGGTTTAGTTGCATTCAAATACCTGCGCCCGGGAAAAATTTCAAACCACTCGATCACCAAACGCGAACCTTGGCGTGCTCGGCGCTGCAGTTCCTATCCGTTTGTTTGCTTTTACAAATAAACAATTGGATGGAAGTTTCATGGCTACGTGGGCAGTTTTGTTGTCCCTCATAAGTCCAAAACCACGAAAAAACTGTTGCGTATTTGTTTTTGTACTGTAATTTGCTCGCTATCCTTCTTATAATATCATCGGCAAGGAATTCAAAATAATGATGAAGTAATTAATAAATTGCAACTTTTCAATAGCATTTGCATTTCACAAATAGCGCCTGAAGGTGTGCCAAAAATTTTGGACAAATCTTTTTTTGTGATTCTGAGTCATCTGATTCACTTAGCGTTGTTACGCATCAAAGCACGTGAAACTACTACTTTTTCTTCGATTAATTTCAGGTACTTATTCTCAGCTTTGGATGAATGCGGATTCTGTACTCATGACAGGCTCAAATATGGACTCACGTGAGGTACGTTATTTTCTGCTATTCTCCTTTCTTGCTAACGAGATAATGGTAGCAGGCAGTTGACTTTGCTGTGGATGTGTGCTAACTAGTGACTAGGCTTATACGGAGCGGTCCCCTGCACTGATTTACGAGTTGTTCTGTTTTGTTACTGCTTCTGGTTTGCCTTTAATGTTTTGCCCACGATGCATTTGCCAGTTCTTTGAAGAACTGGTGATATGGAACTTCTTCCCATGTAATCTCGTCGGTCTAATTATTTTTGGTCCTTGTAAAACTTAACGTCTTCCACTGCACCATGGTGAGGAAGCGGCACAATGAAGGCCAAAAACTTCCTATCCTTTCATTTCGTCAAGTTCTGCAATCTTTGCTAAGTAGAAAGTCTCCCTGCGAGTTTTCACATATAAAGGTACCACCAGATAACACTGCTGCCAACCCGTATCACAGAAGAATTACTTCAGTATTTAGTTTCTTTGTCGTTATAAAAGTGAAAGAAACATAGTAAGCTGTGATTGATTAAAATTGGTGCAATGATACAAGGCTGGAGCAGTTTTCGTTCAGTTTACATTCTTTTACGATACTTACAAGAATGCAAAATGAAGAACGTAAGTGTATTTTTGGGAACCTTTTTCTTCTAATTATATATCACACTAATATTGAGATATTTGACTAGCTTCGAAAGCAGTTCGGTTTACAGAAGAGTGTTTTCACTCAGCCAAATGACATTAATGTTGTCAACATTGAATGTTTTATAATTCACGATACCCCTCACTTACCACCTATCATCTTAAACCTTGAGGAAAGACGTCAAAATAACTTCCATAGGGCAGTTTTGGTAAACGGCGAGCACCAATTCACTGCGACATTTTAGAAAAATACTCTCCAATGTGACTCTCCTACACTTCCCCCAAATAAGAATGCTATGCTTTGATTTCTTACAATTGGATCCGTCCATGAGCATTTGGAAGGGAACGCGGTACCCTAAAAGATCGCTTAATTTCTCAACATGAATCTTCCGTGCCATAGTGATAGGCTTTTTGTTAAGTATGACTTACAGAATTCATTTTATTTATGGTGGTTTAATAATGTAGCACAGCTTGCTGTATTTTTTCTATTGAATCTGTTCTTCTTAGGATTCGAAACCTCCTTTAGGATTCGAAACCTCCACTTCTTCTTTCCGAGGAGCCGTCTCTAAGCCATTCTGACGTAGCCCATTGTGAACAAGAGATCTGCAGCCCAACACCACAGTCCGGCAAAACTGTCATGGTATGTGCGTGCATCTCTTTTTCACCCAAAAATCGCTGATGCAAGTTCATCTCTAAGGTGATGCCAGAAGACATAGAAGCAGCAGGGCTAAGCACGCAGAATTTGAGCGAGCTGACAGAAGAACAATTCAACGCATTAGTGCTCATCGCTGAGCGGCGGCAACGAAGAAGTGAAACTTCAGAGGCGTCTGGACTAGCTCAGCGAGAACAGTATGGTTGGATTTTGAATCCTATGATGAGCTGTTCAATAGTATTTTTCTCTAATAGTTGTTTCCAATCTACAATGAATATAAGCTTTATAAACAAGCGGAGGACTGTGCTTGAGAGACCAAGCTGTAACAGTAGGTATATTCTTCAGATGAACAAATGGCTGGATCTTCATCTACAGGCGACTCTCTCACAATGGTGATCACTGGTGATGGGAGCCTCAAACTCACAGACGCCGCTGGTCAAACGTTCACGGTAGGATCTCATACCATTTCCTTAAAGTCAATAATTTTCTACAAACTTCCTTTAACTTCAAATTGCGCTCGTCTCTATCATTGTGTCAGTGCTTCTGCACAAAAAAAATTCGTGGTCTGAGTTAGCTTTTTTGCAATTTCATCAAGAATTACTCAGCATCGAGGTAACTGGTGTTTTTCAGTTTGATAGAGATCAGCTAGCTGCTTTACGCATTGACGTGAATGATTTGACGGATGACAGCATTCAACAAATTGTTCAACTAGCTATGCCAGCTATTAATATGTTAGTTTCGCCTTTGCTTTTCATTACGTTTTTCTAAGAAGTCTCGATATCTCGATGGCAACTAAGGTAGACATTGTGCCGTTTTTAAGTTCACAATGTTTATTTTTCACTCCCATAAGAGGAACAGTTTTCTGGGTAAATCTCAGAAAATTGCTGCGAAGTTCCCGTTCCGGTGAGTTGCCAGTCGATGTTTTCGGAATAATATTAATAATAATGATACTATGTCTATGATAGCAGCTCTTGAGGATTTTGTTGCTGATATTCATTTTTAGTGGCAATAAGAACCTTGATCTCTCAAAAGCCGACATGGAACGCCCTGCAAGAATCCATTCAGCGGTAGGTTTTGATGTTTTTCATAGTAATGGGGTTCTACCGCGGCGCTTAACTTCTTCTCAATCTTCACACTTCGAAGGATGCTTTTCGCACGAGAATTTTTGTATGTGTATGTATGATCGTGCTTATCTTCTCCGTTCAGGTCCTCAGTGGAGATTCCCAGAATACATCGTTCAAAAATGGTTAGCTGCTAGAATTGGTTTCTTTTCTCACATCATTTTCTTTGTTGTAATCGGGTTTGAAAGATATTTTTTTAGATGTTGTAAATTCATCACCATCGGTTAACGAGCAAGTTCAAATTTCTAGTCAAAACGGCCCAAGAAATGCGTTTATACGTTACGTCAGGAATGGAAAGTGCAAGGTAATAACTATATTTGTTCATGTTATCATGTGATAGTTTATTGCACTCCATTTTCATTAAAACTTTGTTCAGTAGAGTTGTTCTGACAAAACTCAATTTTCTTTCAAAATTTATAACGAACTGTTTATATTATTGTCACTTGTAACACCTAACGTCCCGTTTACCATCGATTTGCTCGAGTGGTCGCCCTTTTTAACCCATTGACGACCATGGCGTTTTGCGGGAATACCGCCGCAAGGGACCGGCGCGCTTTTCGTCCACTCTCATGGTCCACCATGACCATTTTTTTGAAGTTTATAAGAGATATTTATAAGTTTTCGGAATGTTCCTTCGAATGGATTTGAAAACAATGCCCACACNACAATGCCCACACAGTGATTATTGTTCTTTTTTATAGAACCTGCACTCAGTCTAGTTTTCATTCAATTATCAGTTCAATCATTACCAGTAATCGTTTTGGGGGAACTTTTACAAGCTCTGCATTTGGTCGATGACAGACAAAATGCTAATGACGACCGTGTTTTCGAAAAATCTCATTTTTTGAAGTTGTCCAACGAACGAAAAATTCACCAAGGTAAAGTACTCCTTCGAAAAAACACCTTTACATTTGCAAAATTAGAAGATTTTCCAGGATCACGCTTTAAGTAGTTTCATTTAGACCTGATGTAATGTTTCGAATAGAAAAACTGCAAAAAAGTTGAAATATAGATGAATAAAACAAAAAATACAACTGCAGTCCACATGTGGACTGCATGGTCGTCAATGGGTTTAAGTTCCTTTTCGTCCCTGTCGCGGGCCAATCACTTAGGTGGATCGTGTTCGAGGGAATTCCAGCACCAGTAACCTCCCTGTTATCGCATTACGTGCACGGTCACGCAGGCAACGGCATCCCTGATCTTCGTTCGTTGATGGAGCTGGGAAGTAGGGACTCCCTTCTACACCTGCTTATGTAAGGAAATTCCGAGCGTCGTCCTTCCCACAGTGCTTTGAGTAATGCTGAAATAATCTTCTTGCTTCGTAGAGTACAAATATCCAAGGCCTACCTAAGTGCAAGAAGAACCGCAGTGCCGTAAAGGTGAGCGAAGAGCCAGAAGTTCCCCTTCTTTTACTTCTCCACTATCCCCAGACGCTCCCTTGTTGTGCATTTCCTCCTGTTCAGCCCCGAAGCTAAGTCGTCAATCATGTTGGCTTCTCAACCGAATATAGCTATGGCGTTCAAGAAATCCGTTCTGTTCAGCGTGAAGGGAGCATTTGGTGTCAATCCGTTTTCATCGTCTTCGTTGAGTTCAGACTTAAGCTGATTTTTCTAAAAGCGGTTTTGAGTTCGGCTAGCATTGGCTCTTACTGCTCGAAGTCAGGTGTAAGCAGAAGCACAACGTCTGCAAAGCGAAGGTAATGTTAGTAGCGGCCTGTGTGGTAGCTGTCGACGTTCTATCCCAAATAACCGTTCCAATTGACGTATGATGTTCGTTATGTATTACTTACTCTTACCACAGAATGCTACAGTTCCGAACAATCCTTTTTAGTTGTAGTGTTGTTTTGATATTTTGATGCTAGTCTCTGTGGAGTGAAAAGTGTGTTGTAATTCTTGAACTTTCGCGGTAAGCACCACCGCTCACGGTGTTCATCGCCCGTAAATGGATTTTTCGATACAGCTCTGCTCATTTCGTCATTGCTCCCGACACTATTTTACGCTGAACTTGCTCATCTCCACCTTTTTTTCGATGACAATTGAGTGATGAATTTTGTAGGGAGCATTTCTCAACCCGTACTCATACTCCATCCCACCGTATTTGATTTTTTTCGAGATGATATGAGGATGTGGGTATTAACAAATTTTGTAGGTGTTTCTATGCAACTAGCGGTGTAAGCTGTCATCTTTCATCTATCAATTCGACTAGTATTTCAGGTGCAGTATGATGATGGTCGTTTCGAATGGATCGGCGAAGACGCTGTAGATCTATGTGAAGTCAAACCTGTGCCACATTCGGATCACTCTGGGTATTTTGCTACCAAGTGATTGCCTAAGAAGTAGTGACAGTGTCAGTACTTACTCGTCGGCGCTATTGTAGATACCATGCCGGTGCTCTGCCACAAGGCAGTGATGACGCCGCAGTCATTGTGGAGACGCCTCACATGAAACGGCCATGTTCTGTCGATGCACCATTTAACGGTCCCATACCCCCGAAACGTCGTGGTCTTGACCAGAGCCCAAACTTTTGTTGTCCTGTGTGTGACAGAAAGGTATGTCTTTTGATCAATATAGACATAAGTTTCGTTTTTCTTTTTTTTGGATTTGGCTCTTATAGTTTTTAGTTTTGTGCATAAAGTGGAGTACAGTGGATTTGGATATTTTTCGAGCAGCTTAAAAAAACCACTCACACTAACAACGGCACGGAACACTTTGCCTGTTGTGTCGAGACAGTTGTCGGCCCTGGTTAGGGCAATTATATGTATTCTACCGAGTCCATAGGTTTACTGTTGTTAACTTACCTAATAAGCAATTCGGATGATGCCTTTAAGGCTTACTCATTTATGACGTTTGTATATAGCGAAACCGTCGAAAGATTCAGTCACATTACTTTCTCTAAATCCAAGACATATAATAGTTAGAGGAAATGCTTAGGCCAACAGCTGAATTACAATATTATAGAGAACTCATGAGATCCTGTCAGCTGGCCTCCCTCACAATTAATGGTGGCTGTGTGGATTTTTGTAGAATATCTTCATATTTAAAGAAACTATCTGCACATCGATACGGCTAGCAGAAGAGGATAAAGAATAAAGTTTTTGGGCGTTAACAATTCCGTCTGAGAGATGCGTCCATGAGTTCGACTTCCATTCAGAATCGTAGTGGCGTATTGAATGTATGGCCTATGCAATAACCTGCTGTAGTCAGCCGACATACAAGTTAGTGCATTTATCCTCCCAGACTAGTCTTTTGCCAACTAACCGGTCACGTAGGGATGGAAATCCTGGTTGACCGAGCAGGTATGGCCCAAGATTCGACCTCGTGACCATGCGTGTGCGGTAGTGCGCCACTTATCACTACACCACCAGCGCCTCTCTGAAAAGGTGATCTTCAATTTGTTTGGGAAGGAAAGAGGAAAACCAGGTTGCCCAGCATACCGGCTTTGTCACGGAAAGGGGGCATTCGGTAAAGGTCGGGCGATTCAACTGCGCAAGTGCTAAAATGACAACTAAGAAGTTTCAAGAAGGAGTCACACTTATCGACAGCTAATATGATTCGCACTTCTTACTGTTGTGTTGTGATCCGAGCGACCTTTCTTCTATGAAAATGGCTGGCTATCCGTCTTTTTTGTAGGTTACAAAAATTTATTTCAGGTCTACCAGAAGGAGCCGTCATATATCGTGATTCGGCTTCCCGCTTGTGATGACTGCACAAAAGAACGGATGATTGTGCTTGACGAACGAGCGAGAAGACCGAGCCTCAGTTCACGTAAATAACGTTCGCCTTGGTGATGTATCATATGCATGAAACTAGGTATGATTCTTAAAACTGATGCATTAGCATTGTTAACTGCTGTCTTACGGTAACTCGAAAGTCGATTGTCTGTAAAAAAGAAGAAATCGTAGGTTCCAAAGTTGTAGATTTCGAGTATCGAATATGTAGGAGCGCCTCGCGTACCCAACTTATGATAGGATGTTAGGTGCCTATTGTTTATAGTGTTATCCTTTCTTCATATTTTCAATTTGAAAATGAAATAAGTGAACTCATCAGTTTTGTTTGTTGCAACACTATCATACATCCTTATCTGGGTAAGATTAATAGAGTCTGCTACAGTGTGCTGTACTCTTTATGCAAACTCTTTCACACCTTCCTCAGCTTATACAGTTACCACTTGCATTGCCCAGTGTACGGCAGGATTCCCTCTGTGACGTCAGAAAGCTCCGCCTGTCATTCCTCTTCCCAAGGCAANTGTTGCAACACTATCATACATCCTTATCTGGGTAAGATTAATAGAGTCTGCTACAGTGTGCTGTACTCTTTATGCAAACTCTGTCACACCTTCCTCAGCCTAGAAAGTTACCACTTGCATTGCCCAGTGTACGGCAGGATTCCCTCTGTGACGTCAGAAAGCTCCGCCTGTCATTCCTCTTCCCAAGGCAAACGATACATTTCTCGGTGCAAAATATTAAAAGGCAGTACCCGAAGTCTTGCTGATCCTACGGCTTTCAGTATGGCAGAATCAATATCTAAACTCCCAGGCACCCACGCCCGCAGGCGGCAAAGCTTTGATTATGGTCTAGCAGACCACCACATTTTTTCAGTGCTTCTACTGAAGTGTTTCTGATAAACCAAAAGGAATTAGATTGCGTTATGGTGCTCGGGGGACGATTGAAGAAACCAGAATATTACTTATTTCACGGTAAAGGAAGTCTACTAGTAACAACTACAATTGAAGCTCCATCAAAAGTCAGCGTCAGGCCAGGCTAGCAGTTCTGCTGATGGGAAAACACCATCGCGAATTTATTGGCTGAACCGCGAAAGGGAGCAATGCGTTGGCAGTGCTGTACTAGATACTATGTGGGAGAGAAAGAAGAATCGCGTTTCCAGAAGAAGTAGACGTGATGGATGCTGTGAGGAATTTGCAAATCATTTCTTCTTACGTCACTTTACGGCCTTGTAGTGCAAATTACAAACTAAACTGTTGCTCATGAGCTGTCATCATCTTTTTTAGTGTCCGTCTCCAAAGCGTGCAGAGTAGTTCACACAGAGTAACAATGTGAAGAAAAATGCATCAGCAGAGGAGCTGAATGTAGTCATTTGCTATGTGGCATGGGTAAAATCCACTTTATCACCTTACACGAGCCAATACCGCGTAAGGTACTGAAAATGAGGCCACGAGTAGCGAGTAAATGTTTTCGGTGTTGAAGAGCTCCTCTTCAAATTGTCATTTAAAGTCGACGAATCCGAGATAGGATCGGTTCTCACTACCTAAAAAGTGGTTTGAGAAGGAATGCTCATGTACTGAGCCCTTGAGAGCCACCCTCAAGACGTAAAAAGTGAAGTGAAGCAGCATTACAAGTTATGATACGCTTGATCCTACTAATGTCTATAGTTTATGCAGATCAATATCAATCGATAGAACATTATTTATCAAGATGTAAGGCAGATCGTGAGGCAGACACACGGCCGGAGAATACTCCAACTTTCGGTACAGCAAATAATGTCTTCGAATGACTTGCTATTTGGCACCAGTTGTTGACCAATGAAGGTCTTTTAAAAACCATAAAAAGCCAAGATTGCATTTTATGATGTTCATACAGTAAGGGCCAAATTTACTATAAGAAGGTATGAAATATAGCGTATATATACTGTAGGGGGGAACATTGTATTTAACCCTAGAAATCCGTGAAATCGCCATACCAAGTGTTCTTCGCAGCTATCAAAAAGCACAGAAAGGGTATGGTCAAGGCTTGAACGTAACTTTTGAACTGTGCATTGTAAATGGGTGAATTACTTCAATTGCTGGTAAGGAAATGTTTATCTCCCACAATAATGAGGCAGAAATCAACTCCAGCCTTTGTCATAAGTTTCTCGAGAAGTTGGTGCAGTTCAGGAACATATAGATTTCCCCGATGTTTAAAAAACTGATTTGATCGCTTGCGCAGGGGCACATAGAGCAAAACACGGTACTAAAAAAAGAAATATTACCCTAAGACCTCACATGATTGAATTTTTTTTAACTGCTATCATAGCTGTCTCTGATGAATAGCTCTGTTGATAGTTAGCCGAGCTTGGCTTTTTTGCTTTCTACCAACACCAGCGCTCAACAATGGGTGGTATTTGTATGGCGTATCCGACTTCCATACAAGCACCATCGAACTTTTTTATTCTGCAAATTTTATTTTTATTTGTGTCTATTATTCAAAAATCAATAAGACTTCTCCCTCCGTTGCGAGGTCTGCATTCAATAACTGCAAAATATCATTCAATTGTTTTCCAGATGTTTTCCGGGGTTGAAAAGGGGGTGCACGCCAAGCACCTACATCCATACCTCTGCGTCATGTGTTATAGCCCGCCCTAAGCGAATCCCACGCGTGCTCTATAGTGCTTCTCAGTCGCTCCTGGTTTTCCGAGGTTCATCTCATTTTCGTGAAGGTAAGATAAGTCATTCTCTTGAGTTAATAACTGGGCAATCTTTTTTTTGAAAAAAAGTTAGCTAATTATCTTTAATGCCAATCTAGAAGATAGACATACTGGCCGAACATTTCTCCCTGTCGCTCCCAGAAGGGAATTACTTAGGGAACTGTGAACAAAATCAGCGCCCCAGGAGCATTGTCTCTGAACCACTCAGATTACTGTGTTTTTCAACTGAAGTTAATTCTTGAAAAATCGTTTTTTAATTTCATTTTTAATAAAAATATAATTTAATAGCAAAATAATTTTAATAAAATAGTTTTATTGTCTGAAGATCATTTCCTTGGATTAGGAATCGTATTTGGTCAGGCATATTCTAGTTGCTGTTTAGAGGAAACTTCATGTAATCATTGAATCCGGCTATCCATTTGTTTTGGGTGCTTGGCGTAAAAATAATGGTGTGAGGGTGGTCCAGTGGTTTTTATGAGCCCTGCGAGAACGGAGTGAGGATTCAACAATTGACTACTACGGAATAATAATTGTTAAGTCTTCATCACAACGCACAACTATGTCTGGCCCTTGACGTTGTTAGAGGTATAAATGAGGACCACGTGTTTTGGTGGTCCCGCTTGACCCAGCATCATTCAGGGGCGTGGGTTAAGTAGGGTTATTCAGACGGTTAGACGACGAATACTTTTTCGACTTATTCAGTGGTGGGGGGGGGGGCACATAG